GTTCTGTTGCACTGCCTCAGTTACCCGCTGCTGCTGCAGCAGAAATGCCGCGTGTATATAAGGGGGCGGGGCTTTGACCAACAGGAATTTACTTTCTTACCGTTAAGGCAACTAGGGTACTGGCTCGGGGACAGCCCTTTTCTTGGTTGGCTCTGGGGGAAGGCTCATCTCTTTTCAGCTCCTATTTGATTCCTTGGAGATCTTCCCGGGCCTTGGCCTCTCCCACCTCTGCTTACCTCTCTGTGCCTAAAATCTGCTGGTGTTATATTTTAAAGGTGATTGACTTAAGATGCACCTTACAGTGACATGGCCTCATAGCATACAAAGAACATTCTATTCTCAAACAGGATGATACCCAGAAGTATAAGAAAACAAATAAGCCTACAACCATAGAGTGCAATTCTGACCTGTAACAGCCTACATGATAGTGTAGAATGGCCCCATAGAGTTCCCAGGGCTAAATATTTTTAAAACGTTTTATTGGGATATAAGCCACATACCATACAATGCAATGGTTCAATCACATCAAGAACAGCCATACAATCATCACCACAATGTCAGAACATGTCCTTCTTTCCTGCACTCACTGTTATTCGCTCCCTATTCCCCACCAACCGCCCTGCCAGACCTCCGAGAAACCATGATCCAGCTACTCACTCTATTGCTTCACCCACCCTGCATTTCATATGCCACAAAACATCCAAAAACAAAGGAGCGAGAAAGCCAACAACAACAAAATCAGACAAATAGAACAGAAATTCTTTTAAAAGAGAGCAGAAATTATTTTTAAAACTAGAACAACTTTAAAATGGGTCAAATGGAGATCTAATGGTAAGTGTTGAAAGGGCTGAACCTTTTCATGAAAGCAGAACGCCACCCCACATCTGCGCCGGGGAAGAGGCTGCTGGTGGGATCACTGACTCTCAGCTGGTAGGGAGCACGTAACCACTGCTGCACCATGTATCTTTTTTCAAGACAGACTTCTAATTCCTCACTCATACCTAAGGTGACCATAAGTTGGAGTCAATTTGGTGACAACTAACAGTAATCATGTGGCAGGTCCTGAACAGGCTTTAGGGACATCGTGGGTGAGGTGTCGGAGCCTATGAAGCTCATGATGCCACAAGACAGAGAAAGGACACAGCATCGGAGACCATGTTCCGGCCCGGATTCTCGAAGTCTCCCACTGGATGCACCAGTGATTCTATTCGCTCCCCCAGTTCTTTGTCCACACCTTGTTCATGCTTGCTTAGCGCCTCCAGACTTCCATAGCCTGCAAACCTTAACTTTAACGTGAAACCCATGGGAATCATTTATCTCCAGAAGCTTCCAAGTCCATGCTCGGCTCCTTGAGCCTAGACTTTGACTCTTGAGTGATTATTAACATTCATTGCTCACCAAGGGATCAGCTCTTCCTCTGAAACCTGTCTCTCTTCTCCTCCTATTGCTCGGTCCATTGTCACCCTGGTCTGAGCCACCTTCTGCTGGGATGGATCGGATAGCGTCTTCCCCTGACTGCCTCCTTCTCTCTCTGCCCTGGCATGCAATCCAGTCTCTGCACAGCAGTCAGAAGGACTTCCCTACAAACACAGCTTGGGCCATGCCATTCCTTTGCTTAGATCCAGAACAGCCTCCCTTTGGACTTAGAATCCAAATCCAAACCCCTCCCAGGTCCACAAAGGCCCAAGTGAGCAAGTCTTAGCTTGCCTTCCTCCCCTCTCCACCCCCTGCTACACTCATTCTACAGGGGTCGCAGAGAGTCCCCCAAACCTGCCAGTTGGTGCATTTCTCACCATGCCCCCTGGTCTTGGCTGAGATGATACAACAGAGGCCTCCCCTGGCCACTCCCTCTTAGCCAGGAGCCTGCCCCCCCTGTCATTCCCTGTGTGTGCTCCCGGCTAAGCCAGACCACGGCTAAGCCAGACCACGTCTCTCCTCGCTCAGTACTAGTTTCCTCAGTCTGTCTGTCTGGGGTCTCAGGGCGGTAAGACAGGCTGGGTTTGGGAATTTGGGGTGGCGGGGTGGGGGGCAAGGAGTGAAAGTGCTGGCCTGGGGCTTCCTGCTCAGATTTCGGTGTCCCTCCAGGCCTGAGATAAGTATTGCCGTTCCTGTTTTACTGGGGGAAGAAGCCCGTTTAGAGATAGAAAAAGTGTGTGTGACTTCAGACGATTAAGCATGTGTCAGCTCTCTTGGCTCCAGGGCAAATGGTCCCAGCCACACCACCAGTGTTCCAAAGGAAGGCCACGCTGCCCATTCCCAGCACAGCCAGAATTCCAACTCAGACCTGACTCACCCCCAAACTAGTGTCCTGCTCAGGCTCCACTTCTCCCTCCCTGAGAAGGGACAGGAAAGGACACTTCCTGGGCTCCCAGCCTACAGGGAGGCTGCAGGGAGAGAAATGGCCAACCCACACTAAGCCTGGTTGTCAGGCCCACTCTGCTTCCTGTTGGGGTGGCCTGAGGTTATTCCTGGTCACTGCAGGGCCTCAGGATGTCTTTGGCTGGTTCTTTCCTCTGAACTGCTCTCTCGTGGGGTGAGGGAGACACGGATTCTTCCCCAAGGAGCAAGCCCAGGGAGGGTTAGAGAGAGTGTGAGCGCACACAGCTTAGCACTCTAGAAGCTGCACTCCAGGGTTAAGACCTTAATGAAGTGATTTCAACTCTCTAGGCGTCAAGTCCTCAGTGGGTAAATGGAGATACATCATAATAGCAGTGAGAACGGCTCTGGGCAGCACTGAAATAGCTGGAAAAACTGAAGGCAGACAGTGAGAGGAAATTGGAAACCCGGGACTTAGGCTACACGTCCACACCTAACTCACCCCTGAACTCAGCCTCTCAGACCCCACCTCTCATTATTCTGCCCCACCCCAGGCTAAAGTTCCTTCCTCTCGGGCCTGCATCACCACCAGGCCCCTCAGTCCTGTATCTATTTCCCACCTCCCCTGCCCGCAACCTACAGCCAGAGCAAGCTTCTTACAATAAAAAGTAAATCGGATGTGTCCTTGACTGCTTAAAACCTGTGTGTTGGGTGGGGGAGGGGGTGGTGGGAGTGATGGGGGTGACAGGGAGGATCAATGATGCCCTTGGAAAAAGCTAAACTTTTTTTAAAGCCCTGAATTATTTTATTAAAACAATAATGGGGAATATAAGTAAACTCATTTATTATGAAAAGCTAAACTCTCTCCTCGAGCCTGAAAGGTTCTGTCAGATAGGGTCACTGCTGGTGTTTGCAGTCTCTTATCTTGCCTCTCTCTCTCTCGAAGTACAATGCAGTTGCCCAGTGCTTGAAACTTTCTGTGGGCCCCGAGCTCTCTCTGGCCACCAGCCCTCTGAAGAGCGCTCTGCCAGGAGGCTGTATGCACCCTGCAGGGTGATCTCCTCTGGGCGACCCTAGACTCGTTCTGTCTGCTCCCACAACGCTCATCCTTCAGACTTGTCACTCCCTGCGTGTGTCTGTCTGCAACTCTGCTTGGCCTGGACTTGGAGAGGGCGGGCCTGTGGGTTCCAGCTAGCTCCCAGACCCCAGCTCCGACCAGATGACCAGGGAACTTGGGAGCTGCCCGAATGCAGGACAATATGTCCGGAACCTCTTTTGTGTCAGGCCCGGGAGGAAGGAAGACGCTCTGCTGGGGAAGCAACCCAGCCTCCGAGCCGTGGGTCCGGCACGGGAGACCAGCCATGAAAAATAGGCAAGGGAGTAAATGACGACAAAAGGCTAACAGTTTGGGACGAATGAAGATGGAGCACTTGGTGGCCGAGGTTGGGAGGCCGGACACCTCGATTGGGTCCAGCTGAGCCCTCGGCGTGTCCGTTTTCTGAAACATGGGCCTAACGTGATGCTCAACGAGTCCAAGTCTCAGCAATAGTTTTCACCGGGTTTCTCCTTCTCATTGTTTCTTCTCCTCGCACTCCCTACCCAGGACAGGCAGCCACGGGCTTCCCGCCCCGCGACCCCCTGCTGCTTTCCCCGCTCCCTTTCCCTCCACCCCGCCCTAGCGGAGAAGGCGGATCCAGCTGCGCAGCGCACCAATCAGAAGGCCTCTAGTCGCCTCTGCCTCCGGGGAGTCCCGCCTCGCGCTGTC